AAGGAAGGAAGGAAGGAAGGAAGGAAGGAACCCGAAATCCATAATCATTCGATCAAATAACCCGAGGTGGATGGCAAGGAAAAGGGGACCTTAGTCAGGTAGTTTGCAGTTACATACCTTTCTCCTCTGGAGCTCTGTCAAATAATTCAACCTGAAAAAAATGTTAAGTAATCATGGACAGGAATAACTTATGAGATTTGTTAACTAGAGTCTATCTAATAATAACTAATTTAATTAATATATACATATTTCTATATTTAGATAATATGTTTACTAATATTAGTTATAAATATATTTTCGAAAAAACCTAGTTTTTAATGAACGTTAGTCTACAAAGCAGATGTCTAACACGGCGAATTAAGTAACAAAGAAGAGACAGAATTGAAGAAAGAAAGAAAAGTAAATAAAGAAAGAAGGCAGGAAAAAAGAACTACAGAGAGAGAGAGAGAGAGAGAGAGTAGGTGGCAACCGAACTTGGGAAACTTGACTGAACGTACGGCGAAATGGGTCTGACAAGCAAGAGAAAAACATAGCAATTGATTACCTTTATGAGTGTCAAATTCTCTTCTGACTTCATCAAAAYTCCATTTCTGTTAGCACTCTTCATTAGCCAACAAACGCCTGACTTGGTGTTAAAACCAATCACCTGACACTGTTTGTTGGCCAGACATTTGTGGGCACAATCTACAGCACTTCTAGTTTTGTGTCTTGCTAGAACTTGATCTTCAGAATCAAGACTACTCGTGGAGGTATTTACAACTGCTGCAAAGGTGAATGTCCTCGAAAGTTCGTTCTCCATTATATCTTGTGTTGACACAGCGATAAAAATGTGCGCGAGACAAAATTGTATTATGATCTTGAAGTTCTCTTTCGCCATTCTGGATGACAGTTTGGGAAAACTATGGACTTCGATCTGCTCTGGTGATGCAAACGCGAGTTGTTTGTCTTTCTTTTCCATCTGGCTTTTCGTATTCATTCTGAATTTTTCAAAGTTAGATAAAATCATCATATTTGAATCCTATTCATTAAATTTGATTAACCCAAGTAATCAATCTAGATATCTATCTCGTCTGATAACACAATCGCCAATCCTTTGTCAATCACCGAATGCAAAGTTTAATTAACTATAACAAAAAACAAACTTTGGAGAACAATATATAGGTGTTGAAGAGTTTGCCTGTTCTCTGCCTGCATGTTTAGCTATCTATGTTTGAATTAATCAACTCGCGTATTTTACAACTGAAGAGAATGAACGAGAGAATAGAATCAGAATTACATGTAAAAAAGTGCGAAGCATACGGTACTGAACTGCAGCTACACGGTATACGATGTGCAGAAAGCTATCAGAGTAAGATTCCATTGAATATACACCTAATTGAAAAAACGTAGTCGGGTTCGAGAAGGTCATATGATCGAAGCTAAGACTGAAAAGGATTTTGGGTACTCCGAAATGTGCAATATTTGGATATAGACATGTAACAATGCACAGTAGAGCAAAGTAGGTCGACCTAGATTAACAACATGCCAAAGCCATGATGCATAAAATGTGCACAGGAACCGGAAGGGAAAACTGCAACACGCATGAAATTAGCATAATTGTTTGTCTTCCCATGCTCCCCTTCGGTCTTAGCTTTGATGACATAACCTTTTTTTGAACCCGAAAACGTTTTTTTCAATTAGGTGTATGTGCTTAATCAATAATCACTTGTCTATATAAGAAAACCGTAGCATGGGATTTGGAATCAGTTAGAATTTCTGCTACCAATTAGATAGTCTTTACAACAAAGTCCGTCGATCAAGAAGCGTTTCAGTAACTTCAGTGAACTTACAAAAAACGTACAAGAACGTACAAAAAACTGCAAGAACATGGAAATCGAGTTCCGATTTCTACGGCTGATAATAAAGACATAAATAAAGAGATGCCCCTATTATTTATCTACCTGTTTTATAAGAAAAGTTGGTATGTTTTCTCTTCCAATATCGTTTTACAAACACTTTCACATTTTACTTTGGAAAAGTAAAACGTGAAAATGTTTGTAAAACAATATTGGAAGAGTAAAATGGAAAAGTAAAATGAGTTTGCGCTTGTAAAAAGTATCTTAATTTGATCTAATTGTTAGTGATTTTTCTGAACTAAAAAATCATTTTGATGTCTTTGTGACGTCACATTCGAAATTTACCAAATATGGTTTTATTGGATTGACGTCACCTTTTGATCTTAATATAAACTGATGACAGCTTCATCAAATTTATACAAAATATTTCAGTTAATTTTGTTTGCACGTTTTCAGAGAATTAGTCCGTCAAGCAAAACTGTTTGGAAAAGGTTCAAGAAGGGAGTGAGAACCTCAAAATTTAGAATGCTTGAAGAGTGGAAGGGAAATAAAGAAAATGATATACTTTATGTAACATATAAATTTTAAATGTTCAATAACGATGAATAATACATTAAAGCAAATATGACTGAAAAAGAGTCAAAATATTTATACAGACACATGTGGTGTTATGGTTTACCTGTGTTGCAAACGGTCCTGTTGCTGGTACCAAAAGCTATATATATCCCACAACTCCTTGCAGGCTAACGCGCCAATCTTTTTCAAAATGGCGGCGTCCAACGTCGAACTGGAAGGAGACGATGGTTTTCAGGTCTTATCGCTTCATTTTGGCATTCCAAAAGAAACTTTGATTAGAATTTCAGATATCAATGAAGATGTTAATAATCTGGTTAAAAGATCTATTCTGTACTTGAAGGAACAAAGCAATAAAGATCAAAAATGGCGGACGGAGATGATGAGTTTACGACGTGCACGTGTTAACGCCGGTGAGTCTTGTGGAACTTACTTGTTTTGGTCTGTGGATCCAGCAAAATGTTAGCGGCTTTGTTTGAAGAGTAGTAGTTGTGCTTTTAGTGGATGTACTGAAATGGATAGTTGTGAAGTTTGCGTTGAGTCGGGGAGCAAAGATGATGGCGTTTGACAAATGACAGGTCGAAGTTGTGTCGAATGTATAAAAGGGATGGAATTTGTCATCATACGAGGTTCTARACCTTTAAGATAATTTTCAAGATTTCAGGCCTGTATCTTTTATCTTTTATGCATTTTTTGCTAAAACCAAAGATATCGAACTTACAAAGTATTTCAATACTCATCACGTCAAAGATTAAGTATGCAATTGCTGTATTCTTAGAGTAGTAAGCTTTTGACAGTACTGTACTTCAGTATTTCTTTTTTCTCAAGTAATGTTCAAGCATTCTTATTGGCAGTAACTTTGTGTGCTGTGATGGGCTCAATGGAAGTCATCAATTATTTCTTGCTCTCTGACGAAGCAAAAGCAGAATTCTGTACCTTACCAAGAGGGGAAAATAGCAACTATGCTAGGTGTGCTATGTGATTGAAGCATATTACTCAGCAGCTATGCATGCTACATGTCAAAAATATAAGTGCTTGTATCCCTGTGTTTTAGTAGAAGGAAGTATATTCAACAATTAGACCAAAGCCCATGAGACTGAAGGCTGAATAGCCTATTAGAGAGTTTTCGATTGACTTTTTTTTCTCCYCGCAAACGGCAAACTTGACCACGTATTCATAGTTTTCCTTTATTTTCCTTTACATTTTACAAACCTTCTCACCAAGCGCAAATACTCTTTTGTTTTTCTTCTACTTGGACTTTTTTGCAATTCTTTTTCAGTAATTTAAAAGAAGTTTTTACTGGTCAACTGACGTTTCACGTTTGCCGTGAACGTAAATCTAAAACTCTCTATCGATTTGCAGACCCTGAGGTCTAATTGTTTTAGTAATAAACCTACTAATTGGTCTAAAAATTGATACAAACAATTCTGAAATTAGGTTGAAATAAATTACTTTTTGTGGTGTTTGGTTTTCAAAACCTCACTTTTCGTTAATACTGGTCTATCACTAAAGGCCTTTTACTCAGGGGATATTAATTTGTAGTGTGATTGTTGTGCCACAATTRCAACCTAAAATTGCTTGTGTAAACAGTTGGCGAACATCACACAATTCGAACATATTTGAGATTTTGTGCAACTTCATGGCAATTTTTGGTTGAAAAGCACCAAAAGCTACCGTGCCCTCTCCCATTCATAGATTTGATGCTAATTTTTGTTACTTCCAAATTTTTCCACAGAACAACAGTTTAACCAGTTGGAAAAACAGCTCATAACATGCAACACAAAGCTGGAGGCTGAAACAAGGAGAAATGCCAAACTTGCTAAAGAGCTGGAAGAAACAGGTTAACCTTTGCTACGAGTATCTTTATTCAGCAATATTCAAAAATAATTAAATATATTGATAAAAGCCAGGGCTTCTAATTAAAGTTAACCCTCTGCTTGTACATGTAGGTGCTCGCACACTTACTTGGAGTGATGGACACACTCCTTTTCAGGGCTTTACAGGAATTACCAGTAGTCTTCATTGTAGTTGTCATTTTAGTATAAAATACTCCAATTTTGAGCTCTAGCTCTGTTTCTCAGGGTTAGCCTGATTTTGCACAGAATATTCGTGTGTTCCAGTAAAGGTCCATGGAATTTTAAAGTGTTTGTACATCTGTATTGTTGAAGTCATGTATTCTTTACTTTGCCATTGGTAGTTGTGAATATATTGAGACTGATTCGAAGCTATCTCTGAGTAAATGAGTTTGCAATCGAGGAACACCTTTGGTAATTTGGAGCTTGAAACTGGTCTACTATTGAAAGATAAAATAGCATTCACTTGTTGTGGAAAGTGTTTACTCATTACTTTCTTGCCTTGTTTGGCTTCAGGTACTTCTCTTGCTGATAAACAAAAAAGGTTACAAGAAGTTGAAGGAATCAAAGAAGATGCTTCAACTAATTATGTAAGTAAAAACGTCAAAGTGTCAAGTAATAATATTGAACAATGAATCAACTGACATTTGTATAGCCATTGTTAGAGTGGTCATATAGAGGTTTTGCACCATCACGTGCTGGTGCCATAATCCATCTTGGGCTGCCTGTGGTTAGATGGCAGAACAATAGAATCCCTGTGCTCTCGGGAATCGAATTCCTTCTCATATAAAATGATTGTATTGCTCCTGCCATCTAACATGGCTGCCATCACATGATGGTGCAAAACCTCTATTGTAGAATATTTCCTTTTACGTAACTCTAAAAACTTGTTATTGCTAATCACCACTATAAGTACAGCAACGGCGCAGCTCAATGGGGCCAAACTGAAAGCATGTGAAATAAAGGGGATAAAGTTAAAAAAGTATTCTGGAGACAACCTAAAAACAAAATAAAAATGAGGTGTCGTGGGTACAGCATTTCATACTTTCTGGTCGCCCGGTTTTTCCTCCCTCCTCTCAAATCAACCCTAACTAATTCAAACTGGTTAGAGGTGTGCTCCGAGGTCATACATGGACTGTATAGTGGCTGCCAGACGTGCCTTCACATGCTTCCAGTTTGACCCTGTTGAGCTGCTGTACTTGCAGTGGTGATAAGCTATGACATTTTTTATTCTGGTATTAAATTTCAGTCAAGAGTTGCCAAGTTGAATGAACAGCTAGAAACTGAAAAACTTGAACTTCTTGCAACACTGGAAAGAAAAAGACAAGAGATTGAAGGCCTAAATGGTGTGTACTTTTTGAATTTCATAATACAACAGGTCTGATTATAGAATTACACTATAGGATCTCTGTTATCAGCATCTCTCTTTACATGTTATCTATTCTTTTATCTCACAGAGGAATGGAAAAATATGTCTGAAAAACTATCAAATGCAAACTCGGAAAAATGCAAAGCTGAGGTAAGCTGACGACTAGATTCACTGAAAATGTGTAATAAGATTATAACTATGATTTTACAAAGCAGATATTATTATATCTGTAAAGTATGTCAAAAATTAATCTTGTAGCATTAGGTTAACATTCTGTACTCTTAACCAGGCAAAGCTAGATGAAATTCAAAGTCAAGAAACGTCTTTCATGGTAAATAAATGTAGTTGTTTTTGGTTACCTGTTACAGGGTTTTCAATAGAAGCYGGCAACTGGCAGATTCTGCCGTCTACTCTTGCTAATTCTGCCGCCTACTTAGCCACTTCCCAATGTAATTGTAAATTTTGATTAAAGTTCTTTAAAATAAATTTTAACCCAATCTTTGTTGCTGTGCTATGAAAAAAGCAACACAATCGAAACTACGATGATCTTGCATTTTTGTGAGAAGAGTGAGACTGGTTACAAGTATGCCTCAATTACATGCTCCAGTGATTTCCAGTTTACTGCCTATTTTAATTCTATAACTGCCTACCAAAAATTTTATTGACAACCCTGTGTTAGGACCTGGGAAAAAAAACTTTGAACCACAAGAAAAAAACAAGAAACTCTACTCCCAAATTTATGCAGCAAGTTCTTTTTACTCTATCTTACGATTCCAACATGGTTCTTTTTTACTTTATTTTACGACTCTAACACGATTCTGACTGCTTAGTTTAAAGAAAAACGCTTGATGCAAGAAACAGAGTTGTTGAAGAAACAGAATGAATGGCTCAATCAAGAATTGAAAGCCAAGACAGAAGAACTGTGTACCATCAGGAAAGACAAGGTAGATATGACTTTAACTTTAACCAATCATCATTACTGAAAAGAATTAATTTAAACTAAATTGATTTTTAAAGAGGCAGCCTGCTGACATTTATAACTAATCCTTTTTCTAATCTTGTTTTGATATGTAGTCAACACAAGTGATAGAACTTCAAAGTCAGTTGGATGAGAAGCAAGATGAGGTATAGTAATTTAAAGTACCAGTTATGGACCTTATTCATTGTGGTGCAATGTTTTTTCCATTTCAGACCCTATGCCACTTATGGTTTCAACTTCCCTTAGTTACCGTTGCTATGTCCCACAAGCTCAACAAATTAGCTAGAATATCTCAAAATTTAAAACTCTGATTGCAAAAAAATGATTATTAATTGTTTCTGTTTACTGTCCAGTGAAGATTGGGAAAAAATTGCCTCTTAATCCTTGTAGTACTCTTTACAACAGATGTACTGTGTAGTACTTGTTTGTAGGACAAGATTCTAATTCCACTGGGAAAACTGCTGCAATAGTGATTAGTTCCCAATTGTCTAAGTCGGAAACATGAATTCCCTAGATAATAAAATTCTTAGTTTTCATTCACATTATGCTGCTGACAATTTTTTTGAGGATTCTTGTAGCTGACAGCATGAAGTAACTATGACAACTAGTTTTGATATTGTGTGGTTGCTTATTCCAGCTTAAGCATGTCAAGACATTACTTGAAGATTCCTACAAAAAGGAAGCTGAGATGGAATCAAAAGTAGAGTCCTACATGGAGAAGTTGAAAGAGGTACATGATAATACAACAACTTCAATCAAAAATATTCTACAGTGTTGTCTGCCAGTTACATGTATCTTGCATGTCCCATGGACTTAGGTCACTACGATTTTACCCTAGAATCCTCCTAACCTTTTCCTCAGTTCACAGGAGATTTGTGATAATGGGACTTCAACGTAATCATCCTGAAAAAGTGAAAAAGTGGTACTAGTTATTAAAGTAAATTCCAAGTTATTTACTGCCTCCCGGTTGGCTCAGATGGTTTGGCACCAAACTTTTGTGCAGGAGGACGTGTACATAGGTTTAGGCCTTTGAAATGATAGTCCTGTCATATTCAGAGACGCTAAACATAGAGGCCACAAGTTTATCAGTGCTTAGTTACCACTGTAATGTGTGAGTAATCCCGTACTGCTCGAAATCTTGATTTTCATTGCTCCCTAAGTACAGTACCGCTTTTGTAAGGTTAGGTTTAGTGCTATTGTTTGGATGATCAATCTATTGTTTTTTAATCCAACCATGTAACTTGTTCYGAGCAGTACGGGCTGGCTCTCATGTGTCACCCTCTCTTGATAAAGTTGATTGATTGATGATGCATTTCCCTTAATTTTGGCAAAGGTACGATATGAACTTGTCAAGTCTGATGAACAATACAAGATGGAGCTAGCTTCACAATCCAAATTAGCTGATTTATACAAGGTATAATCTTCCTCTGAATGATACAAAACTTGCAAGATAACTTTAAAACCTCATTGATACAGTGAAAAAATTATAATAGGGGGAGAGAGTTCATACATAGGTCATTTCACATTGGGGGGGGGGGG